TATATATACTTTAAGTGTATTTATTTATTTATTAGTCAATGTGTTTATTTATTAGTCAATTTATATATTTCCGCTTTTATTTTTATTTATGTCAGTTTCAGTCCTCCGTACTGCAGAAGCCTGATAATCACCCATTCATTCAAATCAGGTGTGTTTGAGTAGAGAAAAGAGTAAAATATGCAGGGCTGCGGCCCTCCAGGACCAGGACTGCCCACCCCTGTGTTAGACAATTAGTTAATAAAGTTAACAGTAATATTAACACAAAGTGAATCAGATGCAGCTGTTTACAGGTGTTTCTTTTTAATTTCTTTGAATTTTCCAGGAAAGAACATTGCTGTTAAAATATATATTTTTTAATTTAGCTAAAAACAATATTTATCATTGTTTGCTTCTGTCTTGTTTTACCATTTTTTTAATCATTTGTTATCATGGCAACAGGAGCTTTCCAAACTCTAAATAAGACCTGAGTTGACCTGGAGGCATCACTGATTGGGATCAGGATTAAATAAATGAATGCATATCGCCTCTCACYTTTTATGCCAACTATCCATTTATTCATGTATTTTCTTGATTGTTTTTTCCCCTTTCTGGGTCATGGAGGAAAGTCCATCACAAGATCATTTTTTACCAGTTTTAGATYAAGTTATGTTGAGTAACGATGAGGTTGTAGCCCAGGTCTATTTAACTAAACTGCTCCAGGGGCCACAGTTACTGCAGACCAACAGCTCAGGGACCGAACACCCAGCAATTAAAGTCTGTAAATAAACCAATATTACAAAAATCTGTTACCTTTGAATTAGTTTATTTTTGCTGCATTTAATCATGAATACAACATAAAAGTAGTGATAATAAAACATATCAATATCCTGTTTAACACAAATCTTATTTTGACATCGTCCACTTGCCACATTTATAAACCAGTTTTATTTTTACCAGTGGTGGGCGGCACTAAACTAAAAATTAGTTGCAATAACCCTAAAGCACTAACTTTAACATTTAGGTCCCCTAATTCTAAAGCACTAAAAACCCAGCTGACACATGGAGCATTCCTCAGAGTCAGCATGAGAAAAATATTTACCGTGTGCAGAATATTAATATTTTATCTCGTAGAGGTTCCCATAGTTGGGGTCAGGCCCTCTTGTGGGTCACAAAACAATAAGTGAGGGTCCCCAGGTGATTTCCAGACATCGATTTAAATGCAAACAAAAAGCTAATGGAATATTTTCATCATGATTATTGCAATTTTTTGAAATCATAAATGAATAAAAATTAGTATCATAGTTACTAGGTTTGTTTATAGTTATTATTCCCATGTTTAACAGTTATTAGTAAAGTTTGCTATGTAAACAAGTAATATATGAGGTCATGAGTGTCTGCAACTGTTATTTTGTGGGTCAGAAGCAAAAAAAGTTTGAAAACCACTGATCTAGAGAAGTGACCGACACGCCTGACAGCTTTCACCCTCAGCTTTCCACAATAATGTTGATCAATAATATTTAAAGAACTCAATTAGTGCTTATAGATTTAGCCCATAAATTTAGCAAGTGTTAATCCAYTAAAGAATTAAGAAATTAGCAAAAGCCCTAAAGCACTAATCAGGAAATTAGTTCCCCTGTTAGTGCTTTAGGCCTATGCCCACCACTGTTTTTTACTTCAATGCTTGCAGTTTGTTACAGTCCTGGATGTTCATTTAAAGTTTTAACCAGCTTTTAACCAAGATTCTGACTCTCAGCTACATTTAAAAACTGACGCGGGAAGGAAGAGTTATTGCCTTTCAGTATGATGAAAATCACAGTTTACTCCGGAGTTATCAGTCACAACTCATAAACACATACAGTGAGTAAAACAAGTATTGAACACGTCAACATTTTTCTCAGTAAATATATTACTAGAGGTGCTAATGACATGAAATTTTCACCAGATGTCGGTAACAACCCAAGTGATCCATACATACAAAGAAATCAAACCATAAATGTCCAGAAATGAAGTTATTTGTAATAATGTGGAATGGCACAGGGAAAATGTATTGAACACATGAAGAAAAGGAGGTGTTCATTCTCTCAGTTTATGTTTTCAACATATTTGAAATAAATTACTACACCAGTTAATTGAAGGGCCCATTTCATTTGGGAAAAACATAAATAAAAAAAATAAAATCGGGACTTCCATGGGCCCTTCTCCCTTCTTGGGCCCTGGGT